CACGGGATGGGAGCTATGTACTCGCGGCTCGAAATTTCTTACGCGCACGCCGTACCCCTGTGAAAGGAGTCCGGTCCAGCCACTTACCATGAGTGTTCTCATCCTGCCCCCCGTACTCCCACCGAGTATGAACACTCTAGGTGCACAGGGACAGGAGTCAGGCACGCACCGACAAACCAACAGACACACTTAGCGACTTATATGTAGTAGGATGTTTGTGACTCCTCAAAGTGTTGTGGATTCTCTACGTTCAGCTATCACTTGTACGAAACCAATCCGACCACCAAAATATGTAAATTAGCAGGTTGGGTCATGTACTTGGTAGTGACCTTATCAACAATTGAGAAACAATAATAAGAATTATTAAAAGTTTCCGGTAGATTCATCAGGTTGGTCAGTCGAAGAGAAGGTCAGTGATGCTAACAAAGAAATGAGCTAACCGTCAACGGTGCTAAGATCCTGCGCAAATGATATTTCTCTTAATAAAAGGGAGCTCAGTAGAAACAGAACCAATGAACACAATATGTGGTGTCGCTTACGCTCTGTGCTGTATAAATTCGAAACAAAGTGAGGAGCTAATCGATCGGTTCTTTTTCGCCTTACGGCTAAAAGAAATTTCGCTGTGGGTTGTTAGACAGGATTAGAAGGGTAGAGAATAAAGAAAGAATGGATCAACCGAATTTCGAATCCTTTATAGGAAAACATAGTACCATGCCAGTATCGATCGAAGTCAAGTGTCGGAGCATTCACCTCATTGACCTACCCACCAACTTACTGCTTCATATAAGGAAGGAAATGTGGGATGAGTTCGAAGTCACAATAACGAAGCATTCGCTTCTCCAAGCTCTCCATTCACCTACCCACCAATTCACTGCTTCATATACATAAAGAAACAAGTGTTGAATAGAGCCAGGTTTTCCATATTACTACCTTCATCATAATCACAAAGTTGCGGACGGACACAACGACAGACATACCGACCCAAGTTTCTGCTTTATAAGAAGAGAGATTGTTTATCATTTCCTTCTTATACATAAGGCAGTAACTTGGTGGGTGGGTTAATGGAGAAGAGTGAGTACAGCGTAATGAATGAGTGATGTGGGGTGGAGTGGTCACTTGAAAAGTGTGATTTCGAACTAAACTGGCATCGTGCTATGTATGTCTGTACAAAAATCTGAGGTAATTGAGCGCTGGAGCGCAGATAAGGAAACAAATCTATAATTGTGCTTAGGAAAGTTTCTTAGTAGAGAATATACAGTGTTTTGGCCTAACTTCGGGAGAAAAGGAGTTCAACTCATACCCCACCCTAGCTTATCTCCACCCTGTCGCTCCTTCCCTTCTTACTCCCAGGTAAAATCTATATTCTTTCGCCTTAACCGTTTCTAAGCACAGGCAAAGTGAGGTGCCCCTTCTTTTACCTAAATGTTCACTGTCGCATAAAAGCGAAGCTTGGCTAATGGGTTCGAGCGAAAATTTCGAAACGGTATATACACCAAGCATACGTTTTCGGAACACTCCGAGGTAGATGCTCATTCAAATGGGTGTCTCTTACAGAACTGATTATCTTGACTGTAGATGATCCCAGAAAGAGCATTTGGGCAGAGTGGCTGGAAGGATTATCAGTTTTTCAGTTTATCCGAAATTTCCAAGAGGTACGCTTTGCGTGAATACTCCTAAGGACCATCAACGCACAACTCGCTAGAGGAAACTCGATTCTCACAGAATAAAGGCATCCCTGCCTCTGGCTAATCTATTTGGTGTTGTGAGGTGAGGAACTGGAAACTCGGTGGAATTTGAACTTTTTTGAAGAGGCTGCATCGGTAAATTTAGCACGAATTTTAACCAAAATTCCGGGACGATATGTGTTTTCAAACATGCTTTTTTTGAACACTCCCAGGGGATTCTTCCGGGAGGAAGCAATTCTCATTGAACCGACTGGGAGCACAGTTCATTCTGAATTATAACTTTTCGTGTGAAACGGAAGTTTCAAAGAAATACGCGTAGCATGATTATTATGCACCTAATGCCATTATACTTCTGCTATTCTCGTTGGTAAGGTAAGGTAAAGAAATTTATCTCTCCGCGGATGTGAAGCAATTTCGACCGTCTCAGTAAATCTGTCACTCTCTAGTGGGTCAAACTTTTTGTAATGTATGAACTCCAGCCACAAAGATTCTTAGTCATAAAAAGTGTTAGCCATTATTAGAATGGAATAGTTCATTTTATATTCATCGAAAGGAAATCCCAGATTGTTCTTACCAATCTATGTTCCTACCGGGCATTACATAAGAAGGAGGAGAGCCCGGCGTCTGCTGGGCGATCCGACTGGTAGATAAATAAAAGAGATACGAAGGATAACTTTTCCATATCACTAGCTTTATCATAGTCACAAAGTAACCCGGACAGACAGACCGACAAACCGATATACCGAAATACCGACATACCGACATACCAACATACCGACAAACCGACAAACCAAGTTACTGCTTTATATATAAGAGAGATAAAAGAGTTAAAAAGGATAACTTTTCCATATCACTACCTTTATCATAATCACAAAGTAACCCAGACGGACAGACCGACAAACCGACATACCGAAATACCGACTAACCGATAAACCAAGTTACTGCTTTATATATCCTTCTTATTTATAAAGCAGTAACTTGGTGTGTCGGTTTGTAGGTTTGTAGGTCTGTCGGTTTGTCGGTTTGTATGTCTGTCCGTCCGAGAAGTGTGATTACGATAAAGGTAGTGATATGGAAAACCTAGACCTATCCTACACTTTCTTCTTTTGGTGAAGTCCCTTCGAAGGGGCGTGGACTGTTTGCCTTACACTGTCTGACTCCCTCCTCCCCCCTAGCACTGCCTCCGCAGGCACGGCGGCCGGCCAGCCGGCGGACTATGACAGCAGCCAATGAAAAAAAGCTCAGTTTTAGCCACCATTCACTGATTCTCTGAATTGAAGCGAATTCGGGGAACGTCTCTCAGACGCGCTTGGTCTTAGCACAAACCACGACAGCTCATCTACGATAGAGTCATTCAGCGCAGTCGTAGATTATCAGAATAAGGTAGTTCCCTCTAGCTTTGTACGCTTCGAGAGCATACCGCACGTTGCTTTTGTACTAGGGTTCGAACATTGGAAAGTCCACCTCAGTGCAGGGACCGTAAGGTATGCTCCCCCGAACAGGGAAGGGTCCCCTTCCCGGTAAGGTATGCTCTCGGGGAGAGCTTTCGGGGAGAGGCCACGCCCACTGGTTCGAGGGTAGAACTTACCGAACAACGCGCGATCGGGGCTAGCCGGGGCACCGTAATTATTGACCGCAGAGTGCGGAATTGTTTGTCGAGAGCGCAATTTTCTACGGCTTACGCAACCTCCTGCTGAAGCTCAACATTTTATGGTTTTCATGCTTTTGGCGACATCCTCTGTAATTATTGTTCTTCCAAGGCGCAATGTGGCTAGAGGGGGGCGCCAAGGAACATCGCGGAACAGGGAACCCCTGCAGCTTCAAGTAGTTCATGTTCACTTGGGAAACTGCAATTCACGAAAAGACAGCACCATTTAAATCCATGAGGGCTGGCAAGATCGTTGCTCGTAATCGGGTAAATGACAAGAGGACACCAGAATTGAACGATGGTCCTGCCTGCCCCTTTTCAATGAAGATCAATACTACCACCATACCGTAAGTATTGTGATGTATAGAAGAATAAATCTTTGTGTTCATGGGTGAACTAGAAGCGTGGGTCTGTTTTGATTGGCGAACTTTCCAGGAGTGACATCTTGAAGGTGCTCCTCCGAGCAAGCTCACGCCCACGCTCACCTTGGAAGATCCAGAGCCGAAACTTTGTCTCAACGAAGTTTAGAGCTATTCTTCAATCCTCACTCGATTACCGGTTGAAGAAACCGCTCTTGTATATAAGGTTTTACTGTCTATTCCCAGCCTTTTTGTGGGTAAACGGACCGTATGAAAATAATGTGGTCATTCCTGTTACTTTCTTCACGATGAGGTACTCTTCAGTAAGTACTATTTTTTCCCATCTCGCCTCCATATGAATCTCGAAGATTCTGACAAACCGGGATATGAACTCATCGAGATCGAGGTCAAAAGTGCGACTCGACGAGGCCTAGGCCTATGCGCGACTCGACGAGGCCGATAAAGCCTTTCTGTCTCTTGATATAGGATAACTGCTGCGTTAACGTGCTATGAAACACGTCAAACAGCATTAAGATCCAATTTTTTATGTATGAAAGTTGATACTCAAGTGTTGGGAGAAGCCGAGTAAGCCTTCCGACGCTCTACGAAAAAAGAATCCCACAACTAAGACGGTGCGTTTTGCCCTCTAATCCTCATTTATTCTATTGACGACCCGCGAGCATATACCTTACGGCTGCTTTCGGGGACGCTATTCTTGGAGAGATCCGAATCGGGGCGTCCCAGCCCGAACAGGAGAGCATCCTTACGGCCCTAAACTACACTGCGAAAAATCGACCAACCCTCTTTTAGCTGCCCCTAACCATTTTCTTCGCGTTCTAGAATGTTTTCAATCACAGTTATAAATTTTCAATCTTAGCCCCTCCCATCCCTGCGCAAACTCGAGTCAAGACAGGTATTTCCAGACAGACCTTTTCCTCTCTTACATCCAACTACTTTTTTTCGCGTTCGCGTTCTAGAACATTTCTAAACAGAGTAAGGAATTTTTGATTTTAACTGCACGCTCCCCCACTCCAGTAATTCAGCCACATTCCTTCCAATACCACCAACCACTCTTTTTTCGCAATCTGGAAGCCTTTCCTCGCCCACTTTCATGCAAGCCGCGCACACTGCAAGGGTTTGACAATATTCCTCTATAGCCTCCGACCACTTACTTTCCACGTTCGAACGTTTTTGAGCAGAGTAATGAATTTTTTCAAGCAGGACCTAAAGTTCGAATGACGCCCCACCCACTGTGGGCGGAGCTTCAACTTGTTTACATATACCTGACATGCATAAGGCATTGCACACTTCGCTTATTTTCGGTGGCCTCCAGGCTTCCGTTGAATCAAGCAGTGATCTTATATGGTAAGTACCGCCCAGTGCGAGAACGCTCCACCCGCCGCCAGTGAGTTTGCCACCACTAAGAAGCCTTCAATGTTCATGTCTTTAGTGTTCGCTTGTACAAAGCCCTCCGAGTTCGTTTTCAGCTTCTTTCATGGAGTCGTTTGGCAAAGTCAAACTTGATATCATCATTTGGACACATCTATCAGTAGTAGTTTCATTTCAGAGGGCTATTTTGGTTCGAGATTATTCCTTGTAACAAGTATTACACTAATGACTTCTTCAATGGTATTTTTTAGTTTTTACTTCTCAAAAAGGGTCAGAAGACTTTTGTCGAAGACATTTGACAGTCGAATCATGTCAGGAAAGTCAAACTGTTTCTGAGACACATCCAACACATATTCTTTGTATGTAAAGGTTCTGTTTCGTGGTTGGAGCCGATGTTATTTCCTTGGGAGAGAACTGTATATGACGGGATATACGAGTAGGGGACATCAACAAGTCAAGAAATGTATTCGAAAATGAATTCGTTGGCACATTCCAAATAATAGCACCTGCTTTCACCGCTATCCTTGTGAGCGGAAAATTTCGTATTTCTCTATAGGAGCCTTCTTTTTCCATTTTATGCACAAGCGGAAAGCTCCAGGTGACTATAGTACAGGGTATGACACAGAAAGAGAGCGAGTTAAATAGAGAAACCGATGATATTTTCGGGTGCAGGATATGTTGCTTGAGTAGAAAGGATGAGGAGCCCGGAAGCTTTAATAGATGAGACGCCAAATCAAACAACTGGATGTGAAGTATTGTAGCCAATCCTAAAGTCTTAATTGCTTGTGGTTAAAGTGCTCGTGAAAAGATATGCTCGATCTTAGCACTACTTGATTGCATATATGCACGTGAACAGCGTACTTAAACTTTCACACGCTATGAAACAAGATAAGCGTAACGGAATTCACGCGTAAGATTCGTATTGCAGGTGACTATTCCAAAATTTATACAGTATTTTCAGCAGAGTGCTGTTCCATTTATTGGAGGTGTTCAAACCTACACATCTCTAATTTTCCGAAAAGACCAATCGGAGATATGTCCAAATGAAATAAAGGCTGTTCAAAATGAACGCGGTGAAAAGCCGTAGGTCGCTCTTAGACAACCTATACATTCCACTTATTCTTGTAATCAATATCATGCGTTTGTGACCGTATCAAGCCCATAACAGATATGATTTCCAGGGAATGCCTCGACTCATTCTAGACATATTCCCTCACTCATGTAGCATTTGTTTTTTCTAACCAGATGCTCATGTTTATAGATGACCTTCTCTTTTGCCAATGACAACGAGGAGGAGCTGAAAGTAGCTGTTAAAGAAAAGTTCGGTTATGACATGTACTCGGAACACGTCGGCGGTTTCAAAGACATTCTCGGTTGGAAATCACTTCCTGGAATACTTCACATATCACTACCAGTTGCTCCAGTATATATCGCCATCCTCGTACTCAGAAAACTCACCATTTCAATACTTAACCTTGGAATGGTCATGTCAGAGAACACTCGACGTATTCACTCGCAACTACTTCAGGTGATCATTTTTATGAAAGCAGAATGTAATACTGCTACTTGCGAATAAAGCATTCAAAAATTGAGCCTTACAAGCCCACAATACTAGAGCCCGAATAGTGTTCTAGGAACGGTAAAACGGCACCCACCTATGCAATCCGAAGTTGTCGCACCGTGGCTATATGGTTTCTTGTTGATTATGACATGTAAAAAGCCTTCATATAGCTTCTTGTTGTCTGCGATGTTGTACAAGCATTATATTTTTTGTTTCTTCTTCATGGTTATCATCTCGTATGAAATGATGATCACATTTTGTAAAACTTTTTTATTTAGGCGCTTACGATTCAAGCCTGCTTACCTATATTCTTCCTGCTCGCGGTCATCGCATACGCAGTTGAACAGTTGGATATCTATCATCATCCAATTCTTGAATATTCTTGTTTTATGCTAATCAGTTTTATCCCAATGTTGAGCCCTCTTACCTCTTTCATTTTCATTCGTCCTTATAATGTTTGGATTAAAAGGAAGCTTCTTCGCAAGCAAAAAGTGTTTTCCAGTGTCAAGGCATCGACAGCCACGTCGGTAGCCAGGATCAGTGATCTAAATGTAAAGCTTTAGCACACGCGATTGGTGCATTCACAAAATGTTCCATTGATATTCTGTAAACTGAATTGTTGTTTCTGTCATAATAGTACTCATACCCAGAATGAAGTTTTTTTCGACATCAAGGCGCTTAAGTTTCAGAGTACAAATGATTATTGAGAGATATGGCTTGTACACTACGGATTGATACCTTCTTCCCTAACCGAGCGTTAACGTCGTTGGCATGGAGAAACATGCCACAGCGGCTTTGAAGGTCACATATAATGGCACCCATGACGACAACGAATAGTACTGCAGAAAACGAAGAGCTTTGCTGCAGCCCTGTAGGAATGAGAAATAGCGAAGAGGTACTTCTTGCAAATATACTCATCCCAGCAATCGCAGCAAGTGACAAATGACCTTGTCGTATACCCAAGACATTGTGGGGTTTCCCTCCCCGCAGGCTGAATGGACCACACCCTTAGGTGGCACATATAATCGTGAGATGGGTTCCGACAAGACGTTGCTTCAGATTTCAGGGTGGTTTGCAATGCATTGAATTCTCCAGCTGCCCCCCAAGGACTGAATCCGGTTCTGTCACCCACCGCGAGTGTTTTCATCCTACCGCCTGTACTACTGTCAAGTTTGAAAGCTTCAGGTACTAGGCACACGGAGATAGGAGTTATGAATTTCCAGTCGGACCCCACTCAAACACTTATACGCAGTATAGGCCACATACGTATTCGTTGCACCGCTACGATTCTGAACGGAAGTTGAATGCGAGAGCGCATCCATAAGGAATAAGGAAAGTAACGAGAAATAATAGAAGAGTTCCTTTTTCGAAGTTAGTGTGATCCAAAGCTCAGCAATTCCATAATTCCACAATATCATCTCATGGACCTCGACTACTAATGAATATTGCAAATTTAATGATATCCATCATGATAAGAAAAAGTAAATGTGTTATTGCGGGATGAAAAACCAGGAATCCGTGTTATTCTCAAAGATCTGACAGTCTTGAGTCGGTTTGGAATGCCTGCTATTCAATACCAGTTGAGCTTTGCACATTGACGCATGGGTCACACCAAAGAATGCATCGGACAGGAAATTTGCGATCTGGCCTCCACCCCTCAAGAATTCTGGTTATAGGCTTTGAGCTCATAAGTTTTTTGTTGACCTTGTTGACCCAACTATCCGAAACTTGATCCCACCTTTTCAGGTGCTTCAGGTTATGTCGACTTTCTGGACAGATAGAAGCAATTTTTTACGTAGCCTCCTTCGAAAAGTGTGGGTGAGCACTTTCGTGGAGAAAATAGCTTA